AGTGATAGCTGCATTACTAGGCATATATGGTATACAGTAGACTATAATTAAGATAACAAGAGGCTATCTCAATAGCCTTAATGCAAGCTACTTCATGAAATATTTAGACCCAATTTGAAATATGTTGATCTAAGCATTAATTTGTACAAAATTAATGAAATTATGACGAAACATAGGGTTGAAGTGGGGTGGCGTGGGGGGTTGTTATAATCAATAGCATGAAAGAAGTTGCATACAAGTAAGTAAAATACATTGTATGATCAAATGCTCCATGGTTATTGCAGCTGGTATAGGGGGAAATAATTACAGTTGTTGTGTTTTTTGTCCTGGTACTGAAGAATGAGGAAAAAAACAGTATTTTAAGTGCAATTATAGATGTGTAAATGTAGATTAGAGCATTAAAACTCTTGTTTTACATGTATGTTATAGGGCATTCGTATTTGGGAATATCAGAATAACTACATGTATTGATAATATTTTATTTTTTAACAAAATTTGAACTGAAAAAGCTCAGCTTTAAGAAAAAAGTTACGAATCCAGGGATTTTTTTTTAGTCCCCTACCGGTTTAACCGGAGGGGACTTTAGGTTTACCCTCCGTCCGTCTGTCCGTCTGTCTGTCTGTCAGTCAGTCTGTCAGTCCGTCCACAAAACTGGATCCCGCGATAACGCAAAAAGTACTGAAAATATTTTTATGAAACTTGATATATGGATAGATGGCAGTATGGAGATTATGCACGTCTTTTTTTTTTCTTCCTATGTTGAAAATTCTGGTTGCTATGGCAACAAATAGTCTGAAAATATGGCAAATTTAACACATAAACTGGATCCAGTGATAACTCAAAAAGTACTGAAAATATTTTTATGAAACTTGAAATATGGGTAGATGGCAGTCTGGAGATTATGCACATCTTTTTCTTTTCTTCCTATGTTGAAAATTCTGGTTGCTATGGCAACAAATAGCCTGAATTTCAAGATTTCTGATATAAATTTTTCAGCTTTTTCACTATATGTTCTTTATTTCTTAAGGTGTTTACTTCAAACTTTAAATATAAGTTTCTGGTCATTAACCACATCATATGTGACAAGGTTTATAACTCTAGCACAAAAAATATCAGTATTACCTCCCTTGAACTTAGATTTTTTAGGTGAAAAAATGTTGTCTTTTTTAAATAACTTCTTTATTTCCTAATGTATCTACTTCAAACTTCATATATATGTTTCTTATTATCACTCAACATTTTTGAAAAGGTTAAATACTCTAGCAAGACTATTTCCAGAATTATGTCCCCCTTGAACTTAGATTTTTTTCGAGAAACTGGTATTTTCACTTCAACTTCTTCATTCCTTATAGGATTTACTTTAAAATCCCTTATCGTAATAATATGACAAGGTTGTATAAACATAATTTCCTTACTAAGCATGGAAACTTAACACATTACTGTGATATAGACAAACTTATTTTATTATGTTTTGTGGTTGATATTTTCAAATACAGACTTCATCCTCAAATTCATTATAAATGGCAATACACAGGAGTGTATGACAATTAAAGAACTTTTTGAGGGACCGGTAGGGGACTACTGTATTGCCCGCAATACTATCAAATGCTTGTTGTAAATTGTTTGTATTGCAAGAATTTAAATACCCTTTCCTTATATGGAGAATTATAAGGGAGAAGATGATTAGTGCAAAACCTTAGGAAAGAAATAGGGGTGCAGTGTGGATGCAGTAAGAGGATGCAAGGCCATTTTATTAGCTGGTATATATAATATAAATACAAAACAATTATTTAAGTATCCCTTGAATTTCCTCAAGTAATTGCCAACTTCTCCACCAGAATAATTTTTACTGTACGAAGGATCTATAAATTATTACTGGAAATCAAATCAGCCCCTAATTAATACTATATACATGTGCTTGAAATCTGCTGAACGTTTTGTCAAAAGTCAGTCAACGCTGTCCTTTTGTTGTCTGACATAACAGTGGAATGTAGAGACATTGGTGTCCTAAAGACACATATTTTCTAGTTGGAGGTCATAATTATAATTATTAATTCTTTTAAATTGTTCAAATAACAAAATTTTTACACTGACAGCAGTGTCCACTGCATTAAGCATTTATAATCTTTAAGGCACTTGGTTACTATAAATAAAATTAAGTAAACAGTGAAAAATGGCTGGTATCATAAAAGCGAACTTTACGTTCAAAAATCGTTACATTTGGCTACTGATTAATAAAAAAAATTTGTCCATAAACCAAGTGCCTATGTTTATAATGGAGCTTTTTACTTTCCATTCTTTTAACTTATACATTGTATAGTAAGAGGGAACAGTTTCTAGAAATACGACAATTTGCAAGAATGCATTGTTAAATGACCTTGGGAATAAACTTTTTCATGCGGACAAGAACATTATTGATAAAACTAATTACGGGAATATTATATAGCTTTTAATTAAGCTTAGATTGTAAATTCTATTTTTGTGAATAATGCGAAGATCTCTGAATATTAATCTACACAGAAAACTAGGTTTAGAGATGAAATATTGCTGAGGATTCCTTTATAATATCTTTAATATCTATACAAAATGATGTTTATATTAAATCAGTCTTCAGCATTATATATATATTGCTTACATCTCGGAAGGTAACTCTGCTGAAAATTCTTTAAAAGTTACGTAATGTATGTCGACTGCTGTTATCATACATGCAGGAATGGTATGATGTATTTTGCCTCAATAAAATATGCATAACCATTCTGACACTTGAAGTTATGTATTGAGATTTGAGATTAGCTGCTATATATATTTTTTTTGCTCTTGTCTGCTTGGAGTGTGTGCCGCTATTTTTTTTCCGCAGTGTCTGTACCAGTCTATAACAGCAAGCTTCTCTTAGACTGGAAATCAATAAGACATGCTTAACTTCTAGTGACAATATCTTGTCTAAATTTAAACATTGCTGTTTTTGCAGATTCTCTACATAAGAAGTTGGTTGTTATGGTGTTTTCTGAGTCGCAAAAAGCTGTTTATTACAGCGATCTGCACTCCTTATGCCTGTACAATTACAAGTAATTGTAGTATTTTGTACAGACAGACATTTTAATATTTAATAGGTACGTTAACATAATAATGTTTGTGATTGTCAGGCAATACATGCTGAATGTTTACAGGCTCGTTTATTATTTATTCTTCTCAATTATTGCTTTTAATCTGAGAACGGGAAAAGATTGCTGTGTTGAATCTTTTGAAGCATTTATTGTTTATAAGTTTTTTTTAAGTAGAAATAAAGTTATGTTGTTGTTTTTTTCGACATTCTGAGCAATGTTTAACAGTTTATTTGGATAACATTAGGTTAAAAGAATTTGTAAAAAAAAAATGTTAAATTTTTCATATACTTTCATATATATACTTATTAAGTAGATCTTATTATCTCAAGTAAGTTTATTTGAGCATAATGAGAATATGAAATGCCTTGCATAATAATGACCTCAGCCACAAAATTATCATACTGTATGCAGGCATCACACAGTCACTTAGTCTGAGGTAATTCAGCCGCCTCAAATCGCAACTCTGTAGGAAAACATTTTAGATCTATAGACTTTCAATTCACAAGAAAAATATCAGTTAGTTTGGGTCTCTCAGAACCTGTCTATTAGAACCTTATTGCCTAGATGACACTATGTCTGTGGCATTTGTCATCCAATGCTATATTTACAGTGAGTAATTGAATAATATGTTCGCAGTTACTTGCTGGGAAAACAGGTTTATGTATCGAACGTCATGCTGCATAATAAGTAAATGTCTGAAGACTGTTGAAAACTTATTGTACGCAATATTTTTAATGCAATTCATTCAGAGCCTCCAATTATTTTAGAGAAAATGATATTGAAACAGGAGCACTACTTAAACTAAGGATATAATAAATAAATTGCAACAAACTGAGTCTTTGATAAACAGCATGATGTCACTCACACAAAAAAGGACATGCAGATTTTAGCGACACTTCATCACAGAAATTTAGGACAGATTTATATCAATATGACTGGCTTTAGAACTTCATGTTATGTCTTTAACATAGATGAAATTGAGCATGATGCACAATTTATAGTTATACTAAAAGGTTACAATTTACAGGCCTAGTGATATTTGTTTGAAAATCTTCTTGGTCAGAAGTTTGGTAGGTTATGCATCAGTTAGTTTAAACCCCAGACTCCTCAAACCAGTCTAAACAGCGAAGGGCTTGAACCATGAGTTTGAAAATTTCAAGTTAATTTAAGTCCCTGCTAAGTCTTATGGTATGTCCCTATAGGGTTCTATAGATACACAATGGTTACAACTGACTGGCCTAACTATATACAAAAATACAGGCATAAATATAGTTACAATTCTCATGACAATTTGAAATAGCAACTTAAATACATTATATTTTTATAGATTTTTATATCAGGGGGTGCCCTTAGTATTTTTGGGCAATATGGTTCTAATAGTTGCCAGTTTTCCAGCCCCCTTATTTTTAACTGTTTTAATATTCTTTTATCCTCTTTTAAACAACTCTTTGTAATTTTCATGTGATTTTGATGTGCAGACATGGATGTGACATATCTACGTCCCTGCAAGGGATCTGACATTGGAAGATATAGGTAGATAAATTAAGTTCATATTCAACATTTAAAACTGATGACAAATATTTTGTTTGTTTTCCTTTTGTAAGCTGTGAGTTTTCAGTTGATAAGTATGAAGTTCAAGTGTTGTAACATGCAAATCATAAAGTTTAAGGGATGAAAAAATACAAAGCCAAAGGCTTTTTGATTTCACCATTAGAGATGCAAATGTGATTTATGTTCTAATTATTTATCATTTTCAAAGATCATGGTTGAATTATAGTTTCTAAGTACATCAGTTTTATTTCTTTCAAAAGTAGAGCAATTATTGCTCGTTTGTGTCTCTTGTTTTGGTTTTGGAATGTTTACAGCACGCATGTGTGTACAATGTCACGTGGTGTCTGCGCATGCGTGACGCGTCTAGGCATTTAATCTGACAGATTTGCTCCGTGATGAGCGCTGCCTAACTTGGCTCTTTCGGGCCTGTTAGCCTTGCTGAACTAAGTTATATTGTGAATATTTCGGCAATAAAGAATGTCTCTTAACCGGTGCTTTCTAAAGATTGTATTATTAGTTGTTCGTATGCCGTAAGCAATCTGTGATAAAAGTGCAATCTTTCCAGGGTAGCAACTCGTCGTTGAATTCCTTTCCGAGGTAAGCAAAGTTTTTTCGTCTAATAAACATTGAAAATACTCTTAATTGGACGAATTTTAAATGTCCTAGGGGTTTAGATGTGTTTAAAGTCGAAATATAACAAGTGATCTCTTCCGTAGAGTAGACAGATATTTTTCATGGAAATTTTTGTGAACCAGACATGCAGCCGGAAAAGTAGGTCAAGTTGTTGGTAGTGTTATTTTTCAGTTGTTTACATGTTAACCGTTTTGGAATAGAAAGAAGCTGCGCTTGGTCTCGGTTGGAATGAAAATTAACATGTTTCCGTGGTAAAGAAGGGTTAATCGTTTCATATTTATATGTATTAGGATTAAAAAGCCGAGGGGAAAAGAATTTTTGCAAAGTGGTTGTTTGTCCTCCATATTTGCAAGTTGACCGCAGTCATTGATTATTCAAAATGGCGGATAAAGCTGTATCAAAATCGTTAAATTATGGAAATATGAAGTCTTATTCAGTGATTCTTGTTGTGTCAGACTTCTAAAGTTTTGTCAAGTTATCTGTGATGTTGAGCTTTCAATTGTGAAATTATTTGAAACTTGTGGAAAAATCTCTTAAATTATAGAGGGGGGCGTTTCAAAATTGTCAAATGAAGGGTTGTCTCAAAACATCGTTTTAATAGTGATGGAAATTGGGCGTTTTTATCACCTTTCATTGTATTGTTGGAACGATTTTTTGTGTGTGAATATTTCATTACAATTCTTATATGTTGTATTGGAGGAAATCGGGTGTAAACTGGTAATTTGTTAACCTGGTAGCTCTGTCTTTTGTTTTGAACCACATACCTTGATTACTAGGCAGACATGTTGCATAACCTATTCAACATTTTAACTGGCATAACCTATTCACAGATCTCTACTTATTTTATTTGAAAGACACGCTTATACTTTACATATAAGGAGCAACACTCCTCATATCTTAAAAGTAGGTACTATGAGTAATGAGTAAAGAATCAAGTATTTATGCTTGACCTTTGCTGAATTTGTATAGGACCAAATTTATCTTGACATGATTTTGATATGCTTAAATCAACGTCTTTAGACGATGCACTATTTATTATGTTTCTTACCTTGTTTCCATGATCACCGGGTGAAAGGATGTGCAGCCTGCCCAGGACCTTGTGTGTAAGGGACACTGTTCTGTATCTGGAGATACTTACTCATCATAACTTTTAAAGTGTTCACTTCTCATTCTTGAAACTTTGTATGCAGAAAGGATTTCTTTACAACCCTATTTTTGCCAAATCACCAGCATTTCTCCACAAGCTAAGTTTTGGCAATTAAATTTTAAGAAAGAGTCGGACTCAGTGCAGTCGTCCAGACTCGTCCGTGTTAAAAATGCACTTTGTTTCATAAAACTCTTGTTTTACATTTCAGCTGATATCCAAAGATCTTGTATGACATTGTCTTGCCTTCAATGAAGCTAATGCTCATTAACTCATTTGAAAGGTAGGTAATTTGTTTGTGTTGTCTAACCTAAAGATTAAATTTTATGAACTTTTTATCAATTTATTACATTTATTTGAATATTCTATACAGAAAACCTCTTATCGATTTCATATTAATTTATCATTAATGTATTGAAAATGGGATACACATTATATATATTTTACTATGCTTTGTATTCATGTGTATGTTTTTAAAATCATTCTTTGTTGCTTTTTTTCAGTATCATTTCATGGAATTCACTGCCTTTCATGTGAGCGCAATCTCCTTGTAAGTACATGTACCTACTGTTAATTTAAACGGAATGTTAGTATCACATGTCTCCTTAGGTATCAGTTGTTGTTTGTATAAGGCTTTTAAATTTTTTTGCTTTGTGAGGTTTTTGCTACATTAATTTCTTTGTCATTATGATGATTATAAGTAGAGGTGTACTTTTCTACAAGTATGTTTCAAATCTTTGTATTTTGACTAAGAAAAGATGGAAGGTCTAATGCAGTCTTGTATGAAAACTTGAAAGGTACAACTCTTGTATTTTCTGTTCGCAATTATTTATTGTTAGTATTTCATATAAAGTGATAATTATATAGTGTAGGATAAAGTGATAATTATATAGTGTTTTATCTTGTTTTCCAGATCTCACTATTTATGATCTACATACCAGTATAACCTTACAACCTGACAAGATCTCATACCATTCATTGTTGTCTGATACGTAAGTATTTTTATTGAGAAAAAAAACCTGATTAATGCAATGATTGCATTTTTCATTGTATTTTAATGAACTGTAGATTTTGTGGGGGAAAAAAGTTTTTTCAGTGACCTTTGATAATATGGTTAAATTTCTAAGTTTCTTTTATTCATATGTTGTCATATTATGCTATAATTATCTTTAACATTATGTTTTTAAGATATATCACTATTCATTAACAAATTCATTTCAAAATGGCCGCATTAAGCCATTTGGTAAAATTTTATGAATTGGGCTACATATACAATACAAATTTAGCCAAAAACAGATTTTTTAAAAGGCTAACCCTTGAAAAAGCGCTATTCTTTCCAAAGATGTAATTTAATTTTTTTTTCATTTTAGGTACTCAACCATTTGTTAACTTGAAACTGTGTGCCACTTAGTCATTTTGTTGCCAGTTGTTATAAATGTGCTATTATTGTCATTGTTAAAGGTAAGAATCTTTTTTCATTGAATGAAGGTAAATTACTGTTAATAACTCGTTTAAATTTGACCATACAGACTTTGAAGTGAACAAAGCATATTTAAAGATCTTGGATATCGCTATTTGAAATTAAAGTAAGGAAGTTCATAGAAAAAGAGTATAATGATCTGAATGTTTGTAATTAATGTTTATTTGCTGCAAAGTTGAAGAAAAAAGATATAATTTAAGCATAATCACTGGTAAACTTTCTGTTTTTGAAACATATATTTCATACTTCAATAAATTGTACTGATTTGTCATAAATATTTGGCTGTTGATTGTCTGAAGATTTGTGCATTGTAAATGTTTTCAAAAAATATTTAAAGGTTGTTTCCTGTAAGCCAATGAGAACAATATCAAACTTCAAGCCAAATCAAACAGAACAAGAAACAACAATCCATCAGAAAGCCAGTATCATCACAAGCTACTGCTTCTGCTGGTAAGATTTTCTCTATTTACCCCAATTCAGGGGCTTTCAAAGCCAAATGATAAAGATAGCTAAGTTTAAATCTCTTGTCCCTAATTTCTTTAAATTTAAATCTGCTGGATACTGATCTTTCTATATGAGGACTGTAGATTATTCTACTGAGTGCAGTTTGTTGTCTGAGATCTAATTAGAGTGCAACTAAGATATGCATCCACTAGTAAAGCTGGAATTTCGCCAAATGACCTTTGTAGTGTTGTTTCAATTAGACTGTTTTAAAAGTCATGCATCTAATGTTGCTTTTATTTTATATTCACTTTATCATTATATCCGTACTAATTTGTGAAGAATATGCATTTAATATATCTTTGAAACTTAAGTATGATAATGATGTGGTGTAATGTTTGTTATTAGACTAAGCATTGAAACAAACTTATAATGTCTGTTATAGGTCTTCCAGTAAGTAATGTTTATTTTTCCCGTAAATAATATTCACTTTTTGAACTTTTCCCGTCCTGTTTAATCATTGTGTATATTTAAGTTAAGTTGTTGTTTTTTCAGTCGAAGCCAAAGTTCAAATTATCCAAAAATTAGGTATGTATTGTAATTCTATGTATAATTTTATGCAAATTAAAAGAGAGAGAGAAAAAACAGACTGTCATTAAACAAGAGAATCTTTTTCTCAAAAGCATCATTGATTTCTCATTGACTTACCTTATAAATTATAATAGTAATAATCTTTATTTGAATAACTAATGTGTTGAATGAAAAAGTTCAAAATGTCCAGAAGATTGATACCTATAATGGTTCTCTATTTCAGAGGATGTCAAAAAGTTATAGCCAGTGTTAATTCAGGAATACATGAGGGAAGTCTAGGGTTGTGATTTAAACGTTCCAAAGTTCTTTAAAACCACTACAGTGTTCATCTGTTGGTGTTTTCATGCTCTTTCACAAGGGAATGATAGTGACATTCTAGTGTGGAAAACTTAGTCTGTGATATTTTTTGACGCTCAAACTTGAGTCCAACAAAGCAAGTGCCATGTCGACTCAAGGTGCTTCCAGTCTGTGGGGTGGTTCATCCTCTACCCTAAGTGGACTAGACTCAAACTGGGGTATAGGGACCCCATTTTCCTCAGGTGCCAATAATATGAATCTTTTAGGATATGGAGGCAATAGTAGTCTTTCGAATAACCAAGGACATATGCAATCTGGTGCAAGTACTCTCGGTGATTCTAATCAAGCAATTGGAAGTTATAAAGGAGGTTGGGGTGCACCAGGAACACTACCCCCTTCTCAGTCTACAAATAAACCTGCAAGTTCAATTGGAAATATGCAAGGATCATTGCCAGTAAGTGGTGCTCAACCAAATGGACCTCAGTCAAGTCAGCCGAGCGGTTCGTTCACCACATCTCAGTCACCAGGGCCTAACATACCATCCTCACAGGGTAACAGTGCATTTGGGAATGTGGGCTTTCAGAAAATTCCCACCGGAAATGCTTCATCTGGTCTCGCTATTAATCCAGCCACAAGTATTATGAACAGTGCTAGTAATGGAAGCAGTGCTCAAAGTTCTGACAATCTTGGATCAAGTGGGTGGGGTGTACCAAGTACAACACAAGATTCCAGGTTATCGGGAACAAGTAGTTGGGGAAATCCAACTGGTGCTGATTGGGATCAACCATCCAATGCTTCTGTGTCTCAGAGCCAGTCTCAACTCCCTCCTACAACTGGCTCACAGTTCCAGAGCTCTGCCCCAGGTGCACCAGCTGGGCAGGACCAGCAACGTCCAAGCTCTTGGGCTCAAGCTGCTGGCAAGGGTTTAAATCTGCAGGCAAATAACCCAAACCCGCAGAGCAATATGTCTCAAGAAGAAGTGCAACGACAAGCATTGATTAGAACAGCTATAGAAAGTCATGATGGATGGGGTAAAAAACCCATAAGACAAGATACTGAGTGGAGCATTGAAACCTCACCAAAGGTTCAACGCAAAATATCCACTGCTTCAGTGGTGCCTGATCAACAAAAGGGAACAAACAATATGTGGAATAACAATAATGGCACAGCAATATGGGAGGCAAACAAAGACAACATGTCAGCTTGGGGTGGAAACCAATCGGTGCAGGCTCGGGCACCAGGTCAGCCACCAAGCAACTGGCCAGGAACACAACAAAAACCACCAGATCCTGCTGGAGGAGCACAGTGGGGGGTTGGTGGACAAGGGCAGGCCCCAGGACCAGATAAGGGCATGGGTCCATGGGGAGCCCCTGGAAATCAATCAAACACTAATTGGGGTGGAAGTACTGAGACTGGTTCCTGGGTTGGAAATTTCGGCAGTTCAACCCCAGGAGCTAGTGGAGGAATATCAACCTGGGGTGATGCTGATGGTACCTCAAGTTGGGGTGAAGGTAGAAATTCTGGTGGCAATGATGGCACCTCATATTGGGGTGATCCATCAATGAAACCACCTGTTCAGCAGCCAAACTGGAATGCCCCAGGCAGCGGGCAACAGGCAATAGGGCAGAATCGAAAAATGGGATCTGGTTGGGGTGATCCAATGGGACCTCCAGATCCAAAAATAGATGATGGCACTGGTTTGTGGAATAGCAATCCTCAGCCACAGGTAATACTTTTGTCTCAATAGTTTGACATAGGCCAATCTTGTTAATGTTTTCACTGTTGATATTTTAATGAAAAGTATACCTATATACCTGATTGTGGATACAGGAAATTGCCTGCATTATTGACTTAACTTGAAAAGTATGGGTAGGAAGTCTGGAAATATATTAAAAATAGCTTTAGCTTTAATTAGTAAGTTTGTAACCTTAAATCTGAGTAAAGATAGAAATATTCTTTTTTCATTAAATTTCATGTCCTATCTTATGATCCCTGTCATAAGTGATGACTGAAATTTCTATGACAAATGTTTATAGATGCCAGGTCGTCCAGCAGGGTGGGGAGGAGATGCTGGAAATCCACAGTGGAACCCAGGGGCCATTGGAAAGCCTAATCCAAAAATGGTCGGCCAGAACCCAGCTCAATATGGAGGAGTGGATGAACTCAACTGGAATCTACCAAAGGTAATTTTACAGTTATCTGTTGTCTTGTGATGTTTTGAGATAGTTGTTTACATTATTATTTCTTTGTCATTGTCGAGGAGAATCCCCCAGTATACTTGTTTAAGTTAAAAGAGAATTTTACAAGGTTTTTAATTTTAATTAATATTGAAAACATTCCACATTAGTAGGTAAAGCTGTCATATAAGGAAATTATATTTTATAGTCTTATGTAACTTTATAGCTTTATCAATTTGTTAAAAAATACCAAACTGAGTTTGTGGAAATTTTGCCTGACCAGACTTTAGAAATGTTCAGTGCCGTAGAAGTGAGACATAATTTGTGTTTTGTCTGACATAGTATCATGTAAATGTTGTGTGATTCTCATGTTAAAATAGAAATGTTTGGAGCTGCTATACTGCATGAAAATGTATGAAAAGAAACATTACATTAGTCAACAGTAATAGTGTCAGAAAAGTATTCTAATTTGGATTGTGCTATTTATTTAATTTGCATAATCATATTGTTTGCTTTAGTCGATGCATTATGCTTGCTTATTCCTTTATCAAGATTTCCATAACTTTTCAACAAGAAAGAAAAAGAATATACATATATATTTATCTATTTATTTAACATGCCTAGAAGACAGTTGAATTGCAGCATTAAACATTTCATGCGAAAACGCCTCTGACATCATCATTATAGCCTTGCCTGTTTTAGTTATTTATATATTTCTCCAAGTTTTGTTTGTTGATTACCTGTTTGTTATTTTTGTTACCAATCCTTTGTTGCTGGTTTGGCGAGGATACGTTGACAGCGCTGGGCTGTCATTTCTTTCTTATTATAAAAGCATGCTTGTAGGTCCATGGATAAATATTGACCAGGATCTGCGCGAGCTACTGCATGTGGACAAAAACCACCTAGCCAGCATTAGCAAATTTCATGTGGTATGGGGCAACAGGTTGGATGTAGACATTAAACCACATAACTAAGCTTGGGTCTTCAAGTTCTTTGCCCATTTATTTGTATGATTTTTTGTATGGAAGATTTTTTTTTTAATGAAAAGTAGATTTGGTATATAAATATTGAGGAAATGGCATGGTTTTTCAGCTGTAAGTCATCTGATACCTGGTTAGGAGAGTGTTACTGCAAATTGCATGTGTCAAACTATGCTGCATATCTTTTATATAGAGGAAACTAATTTTGACTTAAGATAACGGAAACCCTTTTTACTTTGAGGCATGTAGATGCATATATATGATTATGTAAGTTGCATCGTATTTTATGGAAAAAATTTTTATGATGTACTACATAGTTTGTAACAAAATGAGGGCAGATAAAGCATATTATGATGATGTCAGAGGCCTTGAGATTAATATACAAGCTCTCATTCCCCAGCCGAGTATTTTATTTCAGGATTCCTCTAGAGAATGTTCAAATATATGTAAGATTTGTTGAAGTTGGCTTGTTCTAGGTGTGTTAAGCTTCCTTATCTTATGGCTGTACATTTGAGAAAGCAACTGATACCTGTCTAGCATTAGATTTGGTCCATTGAAATCTAAAGTCAGTGAAGAATTTCAGGAAAAAAAATTCATGAAATCTCTAGAGTAGCATATTGGGTACCATTAGTAAGGAGAGTATTTTCCCTTGTCTCGCCCACAGGAAGATGTTTGGAGTGAGGAAAGCATGGGAGGCTGGGATGATGCCGATATGGGCACATGGAATGATACTGCCCAACAAACAAATTCCTCCTGGAACAGTGCTACTGGGTGGAATAGAGAAAAAAGAAATAGTATTAAGGTATAACATCGCTCACCGCAGCACAAGCATTGCTCGGGCCAGGGCCAAAGAAATGAGCTTCTTAGATTCGCAGTATAAAACTGGATTGATGAATGAAAGTAGTGATTAATAGTTTCGGAAAATGGATTTCTTTCTTGATGGGTGAAAAGGGAAGTTTTCTGAGGCCCTGGTCTTGAAGTATTTCATCGCTAACCAACTAACGATCAGTGTTCTTTATTATCTTTCTTCATTGTTTTTTTTGAGGTGACATCATCATGATAATGCTTGATTTTCTGCCCTCAGTTACTCTTTGTTAATCTCAAGAAAAGTGTTGCGGTCTAACAAAACTTAATTTCCATATTGTTTCTTCCAAATTATTTTATCTAACAATTTTATCTTTTTTTATTGCATGTATTTTTAGTTACCTTGATTAACATTTTTTTTTTTGCCTCAGTGTTGTTTGCTTTTCAACAGCCAGATGCTTATAAAAGTGTGATTTTGTTTTGATCATGAACTTGATTGGTGAGCTAATCCAGTCTTATAGATAAAGATAGAAATTGGGATTGAAGTGAACGATGTAAAATTCACTTTAGGTTAGTTTCTTACCAAAAGCGCATTGAAATTTTATGCAAGGAAGCTATCATGAGGTCAGTGGTTTTACCCAGATGCCTATGCATGCCTGTAAAATGTATGAATGGACTCGAGGATATTTGACCTGTCAATGTTGGACTGGAATGAGAATGTAACATAAAAACAAACAACTGATATATTTGTTACTGAAATTTTCGGAATTTAGCTTAGATGTACTTTCAAATGTTTATCATTGCTGTTAAAAGAAAACCAATATTTATATAAAACTGATCTTATAAAAATAATAAATAGCTGGCAAGCAGAAGCATTAAACTTAATTTTAACTTAAACTCTGAAATTTTTATGGGAATAATTAACTTTAACTTTGTCATTTTTATGGGAATTAAACATTGAAATGCCTAACACTTGTCTTGGGGAAAATAATATGTATTAATATATAGAAGACTGGTTTCAAAAAGTTTATCAAAAGGTAATGTAGTAATTGCATTATTACAGGATGGTGCCATTAAATTCCCGGGCACAACTGGTGGAAACCACCCACCACAGATGAGGAGCCGACTTCTACAACAGCTCATGGACATGGGCTTCAAGGTAGGAACACTGATATATTAATGGTGCAAAAAGATTTCTCTCAAAATTTTATGGAAGATAATTTTCTATATGAAATATTTTTGTTAAACGGAAGAATTAGAAAGAATTTTTAGAAAAATAAGACATTTAACAGGTCCTTATATACTTTGTTTTTAAGAGAAGTTGAACTGGGACAGTATATTTATCTATTTCACTTGTAAGAATTTTTAGCATTGAAGGTCTGTTATTCCAGCAGTTGAGCAGTTATAAAAGCTGTTTTTGATACTTAAATTGAATGTCGAGTGTTGAATTTTCTGTGAAAAAATGCCCAAAAGAGTGTAAACACATTAAACTTATCATCTAAAATATTTCAGTATGTAATTTATTGTTTTACAGAAAGATGAAGCTCAGCATGCCCTGATCACGAATAACATGAATATACAGAATGCCATATGTAAGTACTGAATAGAGATTGTATAAATTGATATCTTAATGTATAGAAAATATTTCACAGTTTGTTTTGGTTTAGATACAACATTATTTAAAAAAAAGAATTTCTTTCATGAAAGAATTGTTGAGTCATTTATCAGGCAAGTCTAAGCATTTGAAAAATGCATTTGCTATGAAAGGTCAATTAAGAACTTGTGCAGTTTTGAACTGGGTAAAGGGTCATCTTAGTAATGCTGTTAGTGTTGATAATTTCATTTAGAGGACATGATTGGAGTAAATACTATTGTTGATGTTTTTCAGCCGATCTGTACAATCGTCGTGGTGCTATAACCAGTAAGAAAGACGAGTTGGAGATGGCACGAATGTCCGGTCTACTTCCAGACGGTAGTGCCTCGGACGACATATCAGATACTCAATCAGACAGCAATTCATTTGTGCCTAATATGAATCCCATGCAAAATACTCCATATACGAATGCTCAATCGAAGATGCCGAGTCAATATCCTTTCAACAACGGACCTAGTCTCAATCAGTCTAGTCTTGGTTCAAATAACCCCAGTATTAACAATGCTTTACAGCAAAAGATCATGCAGAAGTTCCAAAGTCAGCAGCCACCCCCACCGTCACCATCGATGAATTCCATTAATCAAGCTCAGGGTCCCATGGGGCGTGGCCAGCTGCCTGCAGGACAACAGAATCCCGCCGTCCACCAACAAATGGCCCAGCAGCAGATACTCCAGCAGTTGAGAATGGCAGTACAAGCCGGTCTTATTAGTCCCCAGTTGTTGAATCAGCAGTTACCTGCCCCAGTCCTAGTCATGTTACAGCAGTTACTTCAGCAGCAACAGAATCTTCAGCAACTTATCACTACACAACAGATGCTGCAACAGCCAAAGGTGAACATGAATCCACATGTGCAGCGACAGCAAATGGAATCTGTGGCCAGCAGAATTAACCAGATCAAACAGCAGATATTAATGCTTCAAAAGAACATCTCTCAAGCGCAACTGCTGAACAAAACCCAGTCTCAACAGCAACCTCCACACCAACAACAACAACATCAACAGCCTCCAATGGAAGGTTCTGAATCTGCTCTTCAAAATGAGTTGAACAACTTAAGCATATCGTCCACACAGCCTCAGTCCAGGCTCAACCAGTGGAAGCGTCCCACCCCAGACAAAGAATCTCCCGAGATTACTCCAGCCACCAGCAACGAGACACCAACATCTAGTTCAACACCCATCACTAGCAGCAACTCCGAGGGTGGGGAGTCGCTTAATAAAACTGTGGGATCAAAATCTGTCCAGCAATCAAACTCACAACCAAACCTTAGAAGATTTGATGAACTTGGACTTACACAATTAGGAGGAGACACTACATGGTCAACAAGTGCAAGTTCAGCATCTCAGAACTGGCCAAATTCCAGTTCTCCAGTCACATCTGGCAGCTCTGGTGATGGGGGACAGCCAGATAATAAAGAATCTCAGACCACTACAGTATCAAGCTCTTCTGGGAACAGTTCAGTGCTCGATTCCATGACTTCCATTCCAGAATTTGTCCCCGGTAAACCATGGCAAGGAATTCCTAAAAATGTGGAAGATGACCCACACATCACACCAGGAAGCTTTTCTCGCTCACTGAGTGTCAACACAATAAAAGACGATTACCTTCTCACACTCACCAAATCAAGTCCAACCAACGATAGTAACTCTTCATGGCCATCAAAACCACCAGGTGGTAACACTACACAGAGCATGAACAAACCATGGAGTGCTGGCGAAAGTCTGACCCCAACCAGCTTCACATCAGATGTTTGGGGGGTTCCAAAGGGAGCTATGTCAAGGCCACCACCTGGTCTCCCTCAGCAGAACAAGGGAGGATGGACTGGTATGAATAGACAGCAGTCTTGGGCTGGCACCTCTTCCAGATCAGATGGTAAGTCCATTATCAATTTCCTGTCCATATGCTAAAAGTGGAATTCCATCTTTCCTGGTTGCTTGCAAGCCTTTTTTCACTCTGCATTTTATCTTTACATTTTTCGAAGATTTATATATTCAGGGTTGTCATTAACATTTTTTGCAGAAGGTTTGTTTTGAACTTGAGGCGGTCATTTCTGTCTTTATCATGCATAACAAAGAGTGTTTTCTTAATTTTGAGGCGGCCCATAATGCATTTGAGACAGGCATTTTGGCCTCCTGCCGCCTCTTAATGACAACCCTGATATTACTGATTTTATATATGCACTTGTACATAATTAACATTGCTATTACTGTTAAATCTAGTGAGGGATATTCTGCTTTCTTGTAACTGCTAAAAAACTTCACTGCTAAATTCTATTTCATATCTGAGCATTTTGAATATTTTCCTTACATGTAAATCTAAGCATCTTCTTAGTAAATGCATCATTTTATTTCATTTCACTGAAATCTAACAAAGTTTGAAGCTACTACAGCCTTTTACGCTTTTACAGATATTTCATACTACAAATTCAATTATTTCTTGGCTTTCTATCTGGTAATGATTTTAATTTAGAAATAGATAAATAGCAACTATTAAAGTATTAAATGAAAATAATGTATTATCACAAGCTAGATGCCTATGTATACATCTAATTTTTTCAGGTGGAAGCAACTGGGGTAATTCATCGATATCCACTGCATTGCTGCTGAAAAATCTTACACCTCAGGTAATATTTTCATCCATAAAATGATTTGGTTCTTTTATTGATTATTAAGTTGGTTCATCTTTGTTTAGTTGATAGGAATTTTATCTTTGGCTTCTATAAAACTGTATAGTTTCATGCGGTATATATTCAAGGTCTACATTTAAAGAAATAATTTGAAGATCTAACATTTGTACATGTGAACTTTTCTTCTTTTAGAAAGAAATAGACATCACCTGAAGGCAATTGAACATTTTAATTTTCAGATCGATGGGTCAACTCTGAGGACCCTGTGTATGCAGCATGGTCCCCTACAGTATTTCTACTTGAATCTGGCACATGGTCAAGCTCTTGTTAAGTACAGGAGCACTGAAGAAGCGATAAAGGCTCAAAAATCCCTTAACACGTGTCTGCTAGGTAACACAACGATTGTTGCCGAGTTTGTCTCTGAGGTGGAGGCACTACGTTTTGTAGAGCAACAAAGTGCCATGTCTTCTGGCCCTAGTCAGTGGTCCCAGATGGGACAGCCACGTCAGTCTACTGCCATCGGCAACCAGCGTCAAGATACTAGTATGAGCTGGGGTATGGCCCCTCCCACCTCTATGTCTGGTACAGGAATGTGGGGAAACAGTAGCGTGGGCAGCAGTGGAACATTGTGGGATAACATTGAGGATAACTCCACACACAACCTACTGGGCAATATGTTAGGTGATAATATGTAACTTATTGTTTTGTTGTTTGTATTAGATGCTTTGTTTCATGTTAATGACTATTTAAAAATAACTATATCATAGTGTTGTAATTTGTTTCCTTAATGCATATTATTGATCTCTTGTATGCGGGTTAGTTATGTTTGACAGTTGTGGGATCACTTGCTCTAATTGTGTTCTCTTTACTGGTGGCCATGGCAACAGACACATATCACATGATGCAAATATGTTGGTGCTTGTTGCTTCGAAGAAGTACAGCACATATTTTTATTTTTATACTTCGGAGGAAGTATTGATGTCTTTCAGATTTTTTCCATTCGTCTTGTCAGATATGATGTCTGCTAAGCCACGCCGTAAACCAGTCCCCCCGACCTTAGATGGTTTTCAAGTCATTATTTGAATTTCTGAGATATCATTGTGCAACCTCAAATGAATAGACAATATATCATGATAAAATTATGATTGTTCTTTTATGAAATATTTATATCATGTTCATGACGACAAAAAAAAATTAAAAAACCCCAAAAAAATCACATCACAAAAAAAATCATAAAAAATATAAAAGAGATATATATGTCATTTTTATTGCTATATTATTTGTATATGTACAAGAAAAAGTGCAAATTTTATTATCAACTTGTATAATTCCTAATTGTTTGTATTATTTGTAAAATATTTGTTTATTTTTCACTGTGTGGAATTGTTGCTTGTTGGATGGACAAGCGAACTTCCTGTGATAATTTAAGGCCATATTGCTTATCTTAAACTGTAAAATTTTACGTGCTACATATTGACACATTCTTCGTATCTCTGTATGAATTTTTAAGGAGATGACTGTTCAAGGGACTGTGTACTACCCCTTTACTTTGAAAGGGGTTGTGCAGTTTTCTTCAAAGTCAACTTTCCAAGAATCTTGGTAAACGTATTGATAATGGAGGTAACATTTTACGCCATATCTTTATATACTACTCTTTATTTATAACATGTACTTGTTGCCGTAACTTTCATACAATTATTATTTTTTTCATGTTCTTAAGCTAGTTTCTATTTTTTGGTGACTAATCATGTATTTCTACTTGCTTGTCCCATTTCGAATCGATACGGAGATTCAATCCTGTGCAATATGGCTATTGGGAAATCTGTTCTCTGTTAAATGATTCGTTCGTAACAGTTGAAAAGAGTGATCATGTTTATTGAAAAGTTTTTGAAATACAAATTGTAAACGCACAAAAAAAACTCGAAAAAATACAGAAAATGTTTACAATTTGTATTTCATTAACAAGCTCTGCTTAATACTAGATTCAGCAATAGAAAAAAAAATCATAAAAAAAATGTCTGTAGAAAAAACGTTGCTGTTCTTGTATTAAGCAGTATGTGTTAGTGATATTTTATCAACATTCTCATCTTTATAAATAGATCTTGTTGTCCAAAATGTTCTGGATGAAACTGGAACCCAAAAAAAATCTGTGAAAAAAAAACTTAAAAAAAAAATCCAGTTGTGTCCAGAACTTTTTAATATTCATAAATTTTATTTAGAGAGTTAAAAACAAGTATTTTTTGTTTCATGCTGAGAGTGATTCAGTGAACATAATCATAATTGATGGTGAATTGATTAACTGTTATTGCATGAAATGTTTTATATGTGAAATTGTATTTTAACACCAGTTGAAATTATCCAAAGATAATTGGAAAACAAAGTAATTCCCACAATTTTTTTTTTTTTTTGGCCTGGTACAAAAATGTTCAGGCTTTTTGTATTTGATGACTGTATTTTTTTAAATGTATTTTGCTCAGGCTTTAACGAGGCACTAGTCTGTACTTGATAGTTGTGTTTGTGTTAATCATTTGTCTTTCCATGTGATTGGTATGGTACTATAACCCTGTTCAGTGCTATTTTTAGAGATGAAAAAAAAACGGATATGAGGGCCACCAGTTAGTTAGTTCCAAATAAAACAAACAGTACTTTTGTTACATTAAGTACTGCTCACTTTATATATTTGCTAAACTATTACATTGATTAAAAAAAATAATAAATGTTTTGCTCCATTTAATTATTATTATATTATAATTATGTCTCATACTTTTTATGTTAAATGTACACTTGAAATTTTTCTTTGTTTATTATGTTGACTTTTCCATTATTTTTTTTCTTTCTTTTGTTTTTCCTTATTTTTTTTTCCAAGTCAAATGTTATTGTGTTAGTTATTATTGCTCTTACAACTGCTGTGTGTATTATTATATTGTCACCTACCTAGAAAAAAAGTATCAAATACAAAGCCGGCCATGTTATTGTTACAAAAACTACTTATTTCATGACTAATTTACTAGTGCATTGTGGCACAAGACTGTTTGTAAATGGCGATACAATTCCATATTGTATATGTAGAAGATATGGCATTATATCAAAACTTTAGCTGTATGAATTTGTGTTCAATTTATTAAGGTGTATGGGGAGAAGGAAAAGAAGCCTTGTAATGGAGGTTTATTTTTCCTTTGTATATAGTAACTTAAGTATTGAATTAATGATAAACCAATTAAGCTGTGTTTTATATCGACATTGTTTTATATTAATACACAAAAAGTACATTTACTGGTCAATAAAAAAAAATCCGGTTTTCAAAATCCCCTATTTAGCCTAGGTTAATCAAGATATTTGGATCAAATATGTTACTTTTAATACGGACAGGAGATTTTTTAATGAGAATTTTTAGTTGTAATTTGTGATAAAAAAAATTGTTTAAAAACTATATATATAATTTTTTTTTTGAAAACATACAGATAATTTACAGAAGAAGGGCATCTATATTTATGTAGATCTTAAAACATAATGACTTATCGACATAATCATAGCTACTTGTATTAATTGAGTTGTCATGTGAAATATTTTATGTGATATGTAGATAGTGATGTATACTGTTGTCTTTAAAAAAACTGGTGATGATTTATTATACATGTACGAGAAGGGTGCAATTTTATTGCTTATCTGGTTTTGATATGTTTTAAAATCGGCTGAAATTCAATTTAAAATTACTTTTTTCTTAGATTTAAAAGTTTGTGTTTTTTTTATCATTAAGGATCTTGTCTCCCTGAATTAACCGTCTTACTGACCAGATAAAAATTTTACTCCGCAAGTTAATCATATTTTATATTTTTAATATTTTCATGCCTTTTTCATAGGCTTTAAGCTTTATCTTAATACGAAACTGTCCATTGACAATGCATAAGTATAAAATTGCATCCGATTTCAAAGTTATTTAATTAATTGACAATGATTTTAAACACATAATGCTTGGATATTTATTAGTGGTGCAAAAAATTTTCTTGTTTTATATTTAAGATATAAATGCATTTGTAGTGGAGTACACAATTTAATTTTTTTTTTCATTTCATTTTCTTAAAGTGCCATTGTTTCCTGCTTTCAACGAAATGTAATTTTGCAATGAAGCATAATGGTCATAAAAAATGTTCAGGATTAATAAAAAAAAAAAAGATCATAAGCTTTATTCTAAACGGAAGGTAATGTTTCTAAATCCAGAATAGAAAGTTTATTTTAAAAAGTAAAATTATTAGATTTGATAGAAACAAGGGAAGTAACTATACAATGATTAGTCTATTAAAATTTTGAAAAACAGTTCAAAGAAAAAATAGTCAGTTGTGGTAATAATGCTTCATTGTTTCATTACATTGATTTTTATCTGTAGAAAGAAAGACAGCATTTGTGGTTTTTTAAATAAAGACAAAAAAGATTGCATAAAAAGATATAAAGTATAGCTTCTTAAAGTTGTTCAATATGGATTTTGTTATGACAATATTTTAATGATAACAGGGTCAGAGTAAAGGTTTTTTTGTAAAGCTGCCAGAATACTCAGTTTCAGGTATTAGTATTACTGCATTAGTCAAAAAATTTGCATAATTGCACTGAGAACACCAGACCTTTACATAGGCTTAGTTTTTAAGTTATAATATGTTTTTGTCGTATGTTAAGTATTACCAATGTGTTTTATTTTCTATGTTATCAAATTCACCGTATTTCACTGTACAAGTGCTAATAATAAACATGTATTCAGGCTCTATAGAGATTCTTGATATGCCAGATATTTTTATGTGCTGATATTTATACAAAATTTCCATAGTTTTTTTCTTTCTTTTTGTCTTTGTCATCGAAAAAGTGTGAAATACTGAAAAATAGCAAATTTTTATTGTTTTTGGGTTCAAAATGAAAAAAAAAAGACCTCTATTTTTTTTGATATCTGAATTGGAATTCAAGCAAGCCTAATGCCAAAACTCGATGAAAACCTCAAAAGATCTGATATATTTGATATAACAGCTGTTTTATATGGTTAAAAAGGAATATTTTATATAAAATCTTAAATTAAATGAGAACCTAATTGTGAATGCTAGTCTCTATGTATTTTTCAGTTATATGTGCTATTATTATTGATAAAAGGATATGTATTTGCTCATGTATCATTGAGCAATTTAAGCTATACATCAAAAAACACGGGCCTTAAATTGTACACAAACCTTTTAACCATATGTTGCTCTGTTTCTTTTAGAGCCATACAAACATGTACATCAAAAAAACAACAAAAACATAGGCCTTAAGTTATATACACAAATTACTTAAACCAGAGATTTCATCAGTTATTGACATGACCACATTGTTATATTTATGCCATAAGATTTTTTTTATCATGATTTTTTCTCTTTTTTATCACCACCATCTAGCCAAAGCTGAATAATCATGCTATTTATAATTCCATTTTTTTTTTGTAATATTATGTAAATGATACTATGTGATATTTGTTGTATACTGATTATCAAATTTTTGGTGCTTAGAAATTGTGTGAAATTTCTGGCATGATTCATGCAATATAGTAAGATACCAGACTTGTTATTATTATAGTATGATATTATAGTTAAAACAAAAATGTCAATATCAACAGAATCTCTGTATTACCAAATCTCTAGATGACAATGTTTTTAAAGTCCTTTTTCACTGGAAACACGAAAAATTTACAGCTAAATTAAAAAAAAAAATAAGAAAAATTGTTTGCAACTAGTTTCATCGTCAGATGTAAAATGCTTTTGGTACTATTTTCAATTTTAGATGATAAACTTGATAAAATTAGTTGAAAAGAGACTTGGAAATTATTGCTAGAGTACGTTTAGAGGGCTTTACTATATTATATTTATATTATTGAATAAATATGATGGGATCCTCAATCCAGCTACATAATGGCATCTTCTATTTGAAAATCTATTGTTTTTTTTATTTTGCCCATGAAGGGGCATATAATCGTACTGCAGCACGTTTCGTCTGTGATGAATAGCGCATTTGTATTATCAAATCCAGTTTCCATTTATTTTTGTGTGTCGTTATTAAAGGAGAACACTTTGTTGTTTTTTTTTAAACCGTGCAAGGAAACAATCTTATCTGCAGGTTATTTATTTAAAGCATTCATCGAGATTTTATCGCCTGTCTGATTGTGATGATTATAATTCCATGTGTTCATAATGATATAAAAGCTGTGCTCCTGGTCTTAATATGTGTGAGATTTTGAAAAATTTAAATATTTTTATGTGTAACCCATTTCAATATTTCTGCGGAAGAAAACGCTTACCAACATTGTTTTTTTTTTGTTCTTTTTTGTCGTATCATGAAATACAGCATTTTTTCATTGTATTGTACTCTGTAACTTGCCATACACAGGGGCAATACACATGTGATATTTATAAATATATATATATATATATCTTATAATATGTATGATTATATAATATAACATTGTGACCCTCCTGCTTGAATGAGTGAAATCTGCAATCCTGTTGTTAAAACTTTAAATTTTATGTCTACAAGAAATCAGTATAAGCGGAAGACTGTATTTTGATATATATTTATTTATATATGAAAGAAAAGGGGAACACTGGTGTTCAGGCGAGAAGTAGTATTCTAATAGGTGGTAGGGTTAGAGATTTTGTTGTGTCTCGAGTAAAAATGGCAATAGGGTGATTTTTGTAAGCTGCACTTTATCTTACTTGGGGTACCTTCTGTTTTCTTGTGTGCATACAATTTCAAGCAAGTTTTGTTGTTGTTAAAGATAGTATTAAAGTGCAATGAATTCCAAATGTAGAGCTGTGTTCATTGACATGCATTTTGTGCCATTTTCACCATACTAGCATAACGGGGGAGTCTTTTAGAAGTATTAATGTTGTCCAGCTACAATGACTTGAGAGACACATGATCCTGTTGTGTGAATATCTTAATGTGCCTTGAAACTTTCTATGACAAAAAAAAGAAAAAAAGAAAAAAACAATACTGAAGTTAGATTAACCCAAAAAATAAAAGTGCATATGTGTTGATTTTCATACTGCTGTTAACAAAAAGCATTGTCCTTAAGTTTAGACAGGGACTATATTAATAAAGAATTTTGTCCGAAAGCAGGTATAAGTTGAAACTGCTTGTAGCTTGGGTAAAGTCAATAAAAATTCAGGAGTTAGTATTTCACTGCTTTAGTTTACTTATTTATTATTGAATGATTTATTTTATATTCAATGAATTGATTTTTTAGAAAATGTATGTTTCATATAGAAATGTTGAAAGACTGCAGATTTTGCTCATTTTTGAGCGGAGGTATTGAAATTGAAAACAATTTTACTCTATGTCAAATCTTGTCATAATATAGTGGTTAGTTGATTAAACTGTTCATATTAGATTGACGGAGGGGATAGCAAGAGGTTGCGGAATTCTGCAGCGTCTTATTTTTTGGTTCATGTACAGTTCTCATTCTAGTGATTAATATATTTTGTGTTGTCAAATATTATTATTGATTATTATTATTATTATGTGAAACATTCTCATTTATATGTATGAAGATTAATTAACTTGTGATGCATTATTAAATGTTTTTAGTCAGGACTTGCAATGCAATACAAAATACCGGGAGTCCCCCCAAAAAAATATCCATATTCTAGGAATCTTTATCACAGTTTTATATATTTTATATGAACTACGCTTTTTTGTGTGTGTAAATTTATAAGTCTGCAGGCTGATGATTGTTTAAGAGAGGGGTGATGGTTTTAACTTGTTTCATTGTTTTAACAAGTTCTGGGTTGTTGAGATTTATTTTGTATCTAGTTTGATTAAAGGCCTGTCTTTTACTTTTTGTAAGCAACAAAAAGGATCAAAGGTTTTTTAAGGGTATGTTTGTATAATATTATTATATGCCTAGAATAGGATAATAAAAAAATCTGTAAAAAAAATTCTCCGTACGGTTTTTAGGTATTGCATTGTGAGAATCCTGTATGCTAGTGTATCCTTGTAAACTGTGATGATGAAATCTTAGTCTGGAATGTGTTACACTCAGCTGTTTTAATCAAAGGAACGATTTATAACCTCAGATATTTGAGCCGCATCACGACAAAACCAACATAGTGCGTTTGCGACCAGCATGGATCCAGACCAGCCTTCGCATCAGCGCAGTCTGATCAGGATCCATGCTGTTGGCTATCAGTTTCTCTACTTGTAATAGAGTTGTCAAGCGAACAGCATGGATCCTGATCAGACTGCGCGGATGCGCAGGCTGGTCTTGATCCATGCTGGTCGCAAACGCACTATGTTGGTTTTGTCATGACACGGCTCAATTTTGTGTCGGAGTGTTTTTTTTGGAAGAAATTCATTTATTACTCCCCCCAAAGAAAGGTTGATGTTTCATTTAGTGCTTCACACCTTGCACCATGATTGCTTTAAAGTGTAAATAAAGTCATTTAAAACAAAATTTTACTCAAACAACTTGGTAATATTAAAAATAAAAAACAGTAATATCCAAAAACAATGTTACAAGGTAATAGAAAATTAATCCATAAAGTATGTTGCATGATAGTATGATGTAAATTTCATTAAAATATATGTCGGAAAGTTTGATTAATCTGCGGAGAATATTTGGTTAACTTTAGAGTTATAAACCCTTGATTGGATTGGATTGGATTTAAATGAGATCATACCGAAATTTCAGAAAATTTATGCTCAAAGTAATAGTAATACACAAAAAGTTTGAGTAAAAGGTGTAAATTGCTAAAAGAAACTTCAACTGGAGTAAACATAATAGAAATGATAGCTGTATAAATTTAATGTTGTTTACAACAGATAACAGAATTGTTCTGTTGGCCAAACATATTTTTTCTTCAGTTTTTAACATTCCTTCAATATATCTTCATAGATTGTTGTTTTGTTATCATAAAAGTAGTGTGTGTGTACACAGTTTGTGTATCCATAGTCCTGTTTAGTTTTGAATTTTTTTTTTTTTATTATTTTTCTCTGACAGCATATCAATCTTGATACATTAAACACTGTGTATGAATGATGAAGAGTTGTGGAATTTATATTACAAAGGGTCTGTGTACAATCTTCAAAGATGTATTGAAGTAAATGATTTCATTCATGGATTGAGGTAGAAATTTTGGAAAGAATTTTGGCAGCAATTTGAACCGTTGTGGTAAAAATTAAGTGATAACAAAAGTAGGACATGACATGTATATTGTGCTCGTAGAATCGCTTTGGACTTGTATTATGAATAAATCTTTACCTCATCAATGTTGTTGTTTTCTTTTTGTATACTTTCCCTTATTGTATTAATAGAAAGTAGACATTTTATTGCATTAAATGTCTAGTGACTTGTCGATAACCATTCTGTTACCACATGTAACCATTCTGCCTCCGTGGTCGAGGGATCAGCGTCGATGACTTCTAATCCCGTTACCTCTCTGGCGTGGGTTCGATCCCCGGGAGATGTTTTGGTAGTTTAGCGCGGAGGAAGGTTGTCTAGTACTGGTGTTACTCTCCAGGAACAATGGTTAGGAAACTACCCGCCTATATGACTGAAATACTGTTGGAAAAAGGCGTAAAATGAAGCAAACAAAGTAGCCATTCTGTTACACATGTCCTTCTGAAAAGCCGACTTATTCATAATTCATTGAAAGTTAGAACTTTAACTTTGAAGATCAACCACTGTAAGAAAGAACATGCATGAGAAACTGATGCATTAACCACGTGCATTTTGTTTCCGGGCTATACATAAAGTACATGTAACAGGACTAATGGAAAAAAGTTTCAGGAAGAATTCAATGGAACTGTTCGTAGCACAAGTTCAAAGCCCATTTAGCGATAAGCCATAATTTCCTTGAGCTAGACATTACACAAGTTTCACATCCACAAACGTACTTATGTCTATAATTTTAATAGTTTCCTGGAATATAAATTCCACTTTATAGAGGAAATAATCTAGCCGTCAATTCCCTTTTCAGTCATTTAAATTATGCCTAAAAGCTGTAAGTTTTGTTTCATTTAAATAAAGATCTTTGTATCTTTATTTAAGCATCTAGATACCATTATTTGTTAGATTTGTGGACACCTGAAAAATACTGGTAAATTTTGTTAGATCGGTCTGTATTTGAGCAGTTTTCAGCAATTTGTTTTACAACCTTTAACGTAAGATTGCCCTGGTTTTTCTTCTGCTTTATAATTATGCAAATCATGGACCAAAAATATTTTCCTTTCTTAAAAACTGCCCAGATAAATATGTCTGCTGGAGTGATGGAGCGTTACTATTTGAGTTGGACTAAATGCATGGTGAGAGTAGAGAGGTAAAAACAAAAGAAGCATAATATTGATTATCTGTCTTACAATGTTTATACCCCCACCACAAAGTGTGTGTGGGGGGGGGGGGCTATAATGGATTTGCTTTGTTGCTTCGGTCTGTCCGTCCGTCTCCATTATCGTGTTCACTCTATAAGTCCTATACCAATTGAAGGATTTTCTTCAAACTTGGCTCAAATGTTCACCTCAACAAGGGGATGTGCAGAACCCATGTTGCCCATGTGTCAGCTCAAGGTCAAGGTCACAATTGAAGATCAAATATTAGACGGTATGTTGTGTCCGCTCTGTAAGTCCTACACTAACTGATAGATTTTCTTCAATCTTTGCTCAAATGTTCACTTCAACGGCAGAACCCATGTTACCCTTTTGCTGGCTTAAGGTCAAGGTTTGGAAAACATTCTTAAATTTTAACATGTATTTGAATATTTCTGAAACTATAAAAGGTATTTGCTTGAAACTTACAATATATATTAAGTGTCGTCAAGTTTCATAACTTAGTATTGCATTTTGACAAAGTTATGCCCCTTTTTAAGTCTTCAAATTTACATACAATCACATATTAGACAATATGTTGTGTCCGCTCTATAAATCCTTTTCTAATGGAAGAATTTTCTTCAAACTTTACTCAAATGTTCACCTCAACAAGTTTATGTGCAGAACCCATGATACCTTTGTGCCGGCTTAAGGTCAAGGTCACACTTGAAGGCCAAATATTGAATTAGAAAATGTTCTTAAATTTTAACATGTACTTGAATATTTCTGAAACTAGCACAGTTATTTGCTTGAAACGTAAAAGATATATGAGTTGTCATAAGTAAGATATGCAGATCAAGTTTCATAACTCTGTATTGCATTTGACAAGTTATGTCCCTTTTTATATGCTGGAAAGAATTTCGGGCGTATTATGTTATACCCCCCTGGCGTTCGTCTGTCTGTCTGTCCGTTAGCAATTTGGTTTCCGGAACATTACTTGAGTTCCATTTGGCCAACAGTATTCAAACTTCATAGGATGATTGTCCATATTGGGTAGAAGACTCCTATTGATTTTGGGGTCACAAGGTCAAAGGTCAAGGTCACTATTGCCAAAAAACTGAAAACAGTTTTCGGAGCATAACTTAAGTTCTATTTGGCCCTCAGTGTTCAAACTTCATTGGATGATTGTCCATATTGGGTAGAAGACCCCTATTGATTTAGGGGTCACAAGGTCAAAGGTCAAGGTCACTATTACCTTAAAACTAAAAACAGTTTCTGGAACACATCTTAAGTTCTATTTGGCCCACATTATTCAAACTTCATAGTATGATTGTCCATATTGGGTAGAAGACCCCTATTGATTTTGGCGTCACAAGGTCAAAATTCAAGGTTACTATTACCATAAAACTGAAAACAGTTTCCGGAGCATAACTTAAGTTCCATGTGGCCCACAGTGTTCAAACTTCATAGGATGATTGTCCATATTGGGTAGAAGACCCCTTTTGATTTTGGGGTCACAAGGTCAAAGGTCAAGGTCACTATTACTTTAAAACTGAAAACAGTTTCCGGAGCATAACTTGAGTTCCATGTGACCCTCAATATTCAAACTTCATAGGATGAGTGTCCATATTGGGTAGAAGACCCCTATTGATTTTGGATTCACAAGGTCAAGGTCACTTACCTAAAAACTGAAAACAGTATCCAGAACATAACTTAAGTTCCATTTGGCCCACAGTGTTCAATGGATGATTGTCCATATTGGGTAGAATACCCCTATTGATTTTGGGGTCACAAGGTCAAAGTTCAAGTTCACTATTACCTTTAAACTGGAAACAGTTTCTGGAGCATAACTTAAGTTCCATTTGGCCCACAATATTCAAACTTCATAGGAGGATTGTTATTTGAAGGAGGTAAAACTTTATTCAATTCCCGTGTCTTACAAATGCTTCATCCTTACAAAAAAAAACACTTTCGGGCATATAATGCTCCGCCTAGCGGTGCTCTTGTTAAGTCTTTAAATTTACATACAATCAATACTAGACAATATGTCGTGTCCGCTCTATAAATTCTATACTAATGGAAGGATTTTCTTCAAACTTGACTCAAGTGTTCACCCCAACGGGCAATGTGCAGAATCCATCTTACCCTTGTGCCAGCTTAAGGTCAAGGCCACACTTGAAGGTTAAAAATTTACTTAGAAAATGTTCTGAAATTTTAACATGTACTTGAATATTTCTAAAACTAGAACAGATAATCATTTGAAACTTCAAATATATACGAGTAAGATATGCATGTCAGGTTTAATAACTAAAAAAAGTGTGGGGGAGAACTTTGTATTGTATTTTGGCAAAGTTAAGTCCATTTTTATGTATTTACTATAATATTTCTTTAACCAGAACAGATATTTACTTGAAACTTAAAATTCAAGCTCAGGTGACGAAAATTTAACAATTCCATTAAATTATGACACAAGTTATGTCCCTTTTAGGCTTAGAAAATGTTCTGATATAATAATTAATACTTAAATGTTTCTGAAACTAGAACAGATATTCACTTGAAACTATATAATATATGAAGGGTCACAAGTAAGCTCAGTGTGCAAAGTTTTTCCACTCTTAATTACATTTTGACATAATTATGCTATTTTCTTAACTTCACTGCTTTTGTTTGTTTTAGTACAATGGGAAAATGAAAGGTTATTTGTGAATGTTTCGAACATGATTTGACAATATATATTTATACTATTACCTGTACAATTTGTCTTTTTTTTCACCAGAGATAATTTCTTTTTATGTGTATGTATTGTACCACTAAAGTTATTCCCTTAACCACCTTTCCAAGTCGTCTTCTGTCAAGGACAATGGTGGGGGTATGAATCGCATTCAGCGATAGTTCTAGTTTTGTCTGGAAAAGAACTAGCAAATTATCCAATAAGAGATCGACAATGACCTTAAAATATTGATAGATGATTATTAGAAAAAAGTAAGAGTCAAAATGGTCTTGTTTTCAGCACAAAAACCGGAAGTTTGCTATTAATATTCCCTCTTGTCCGACGCCCGAAGAAACTTGGGATGGCATTGTCCGTCCTTCCATAGGTTGCAGGAGTTCTTTTGAAGGATTTCAGCGATTGTATTTATATTTGGCTTGTAAGTAATTTATATCAACACGTATATAAGTTTAATTTTCGCTGCAATCAAAATATTATTGAAAGAGTTATGCCTCTTTTGTAACAATTGTACTCAGGATAACTTTTGAAGTATTTATCTTGAAGGCATATTTGTGTATGTGATATCTTCTTTTGAATTTACCATCGGGCGTATGTTTCTCCGCCTCAGAGGAGCTCTTGTTACTTTCACAACACCTTAACCACAATACCTCACAGGATGGTCCTTATAAGGTCCTCTAGAAAATTTGCTCAAATGGTATCGGTCCGCTGAACAAGATGACAGCAAAAGCTTAAAAATGAAGAAAAGAAGAAAACAAAAACAAGAACAACAAGATGTTGACATCTTCCCAACAACTCTGCAGCAATGTTCATTAGATGTCCTTTACAAAATTTGTCAAATGGTTCTGATCTGTTGAAGATGCCTACCAGAGGTAAAATTGAAAGAAGCTTTAAATGAATCTTTTCGTCAGTCGCTTGGCTAATAGTGATGAAACTAAACAGGAATGATCCTTAGACGGTCCTTTATAAACATTGCTCAAATGGTTCCATTCCGCCGAACAAGATTACCGCCAGAGCTAAAGAGAGAAAGAAAGTAGAAGAAAATGACACCTCCTCCTCAACCACTAGGCAGATTTTGATGAACCTGTACAGAAATGAACATCTATAGGCGATCCTTAACTAAAATTGATAGATTCCTACTCTGACTTTTAGCAATTTGAATAAACAGACATTACCATGTGCTTTTTCGTTAACAAATATGTTGTGGTGAAATTCATATTGTATCCACTTATCTGATTATTAGAATTGGACAGGTCATGGATCTATGCATTGCTAAAATAGTTCAGGTTTGCCGAAGATGGTCGCCAAAAGACATCTTCGCTTCAACCATGCTATGATATTAATGAACTTCTACTAGAATGATCTTTAGGTGGTTCTTTATAAAAATTGCTAACATAGTTTTCGTGTTGAACAAAACGGCCGGCGGAGCTAAATATAGAAAAAAAATGACATTTCCTCCTCAACTGATACATGAATGGCCATTAGAAATTATTTTCAAGTTGTACGTTATACTGTGGGACAAAGGGTGACTGGATTCCTTCACATGCTTTGATTTTTTTTATCTAATAATAGATTGATAAAAAAGCAACACTTTAAAACAGATCAAAAGGATGTTTAAGACGTTTATTTTATTCTTGTTAACGTCTAACTAACTTACAGTCTTTGATCTATTTTTCCTAAGCACGCAAGACGCGACGTTAAATAAACCTTATTGAATATAGTTTATTGGTAATATATATTTTAGGTCTTGGTTCTGACTTGATCCATAAATAGTCACAGGCTTAAGAAAAAAATAGCCTATTAATGCTTGGAGAAATATTTCTTACAAACTTCAATGTCCAGATCTTTGATACTCGTAAAACCTTGTGGTATTCTAAAACAGTAATATGAATAACCACTATGTTTTACGTCCGCTCTATACCTTGAACCAATTGGTGAAAATTGAAACTATTTGACATAATGTTTATGGGTTGATGGTCTTTAATAAAAGGTAGATATTTACTAACCGTTATAATTACCATATTTAAAATGTATACGTCAACGTGCTACAGCTATTAAAACATGCATGTGAGGGCAAAAATAAATATTTTGCATTCATGCCACGTCAGTACTGGAAATTTTCCAACCTCCTGCGCAGTGGTCCCCCTTTGCTTCGCTGAACAAACTTATACGCAGTGGTCCCTCTTTGCTTCGCTGTACAAACTTTATGCGCAGTGGTCCCCCTTTGCTTCGCTGAACAAACTAATACGCAGTGGTCCCTCTTTGCTTCGCTGAACACAAACTTATACGCAGTGGTCCCTCTTTGCTTCGCTGAACAAACTTTATACGCAGTGGTCCCCCTTTGCTTCGCTGAACAAACTTATACGCAGTGGTCCCCCCTTGCTTCGCTACACAAACTCCAACGCAGTGGTCCCTCTTTGCTTCGCTACAGAACCTCATTGCTTCATAGAACGAAGTCGATCAAAATTACTGTGACAAACAACTTGCTCAAACTCAAATTGGGTGATGTATATGTTTTCAAATTGAAAAAAAAATGGCTGTGATTATGTTTGATTTGATATTAACTCGAAGATTAAGGATGTTTGTTGATTAGAACCAACAGAAATCAAGCTTCAATTTTTCATCTTCCCTTTGTGTTAGGTCTACTTGTATTTTACCAAGACGAGTTGTAAGCTAAGTGTGAATTGTTTATTTGCTTGATGCTAACAGTACCTTTAGTGCTTTGATTTTTAGTGTGATATTTGTGTAGATCCCACAGAGTCCTGTCAATAACTCACTTGATTGCTGTTGTTTTATTTTCTTTCTCAAATACACCATGAATGCTCTGATGAAGAGATGAGAGAGTGTTCACTTAATGTAGACTTCAGAACATATAAACGAATGAGAAGATGAGAGGGCGTACCTTTTTTGTATACATTAGAATATACAAAAAGCTCATAGTAACTGAGTTAAAATTAGAGAAAATATGTTATTGTAAGCATTACACTTTTAGGAATACAAATAAACAATCACTGGGGGCGTCCGTGGCCGGGTGGTTAACGTCGTTGACTTCAAACCAATTGCCCCTTACCGCTGTGGGTTCGAATCCCGACAGGTGCTTTGGATTCTTTCATGTGAGGAAGCTATCCAGCTAGCTTACGGAACGTCGGTGGTTCTACTCAGATGCCCGTTCGTGCCTGAATAATGCACGGAAGGGCACCTGAGGTCTTCCTCCACCAGTAAAGCTGAAACGTCGCCAAATGACCTATACTGTGTCGGTATAACCCAAACAAACACTGGTTATTTTTATTATATTGTTTTTTTACTGGCTTTTCTTTTTAAAGCATACAAAATAATAATGTCTATAAAATCAGGAATATTTTTAATAAAATCTAGGGATACTGTTACATATATATAAATTGATCACTGTATAAATTAGCTGATAAATATATAAATAGATGGATTAATAAATAGGTGGATAAATAAATAAATTAAACACTTACACGCAAGACTATAAATAATACGAATATTTTTAACGTTTCACAACACACAGGGATATATTTTCATGTTGAGGTATTACCATGTTACTGTATATACAGATATGTACTTGCCAATTAACAAGTTTCTAATCTGTAAGCCAATCATTCGTTGTCATGACAATTTACCGCATGACGTATTTATAAGAACAGAAACAAGTAGAAAATTCTATAAAGTGACACCGTAACATTATCATTGTATTGTTATATTTGTGTCAGCACGAGAGTGTCATATTTATCAACAGTGCAACCTCAGCAAAGCGTCCCTCTGTAGAGAAATTAACACTTTACCACAACAGTATCAATGAACAACGTTCTTAACAGTTTCTTTGTAAAAACAATAACCTCTTTACCACATAAGTATCAATGTAAGTGCAGCCTCTAGTGCAATAGACTACCTCCGGAATTAAGAATACATTGTTTTTGGGGTTTTCCCAGCTTATCCATAGGTTCAAACAAACCTTTACAGTTACAGCTTCAAACAAACCTTTACAGTTACAGCTTCAAAAAAAAGGCGCACCAGGTTGATTTATCTATTGTGACGGGTAGTGCACCGTCAAAAGTTTGTTTTTACCTACGGATTAGCTTGGAAGCACCCACATTTGCCGAGCTCCGGATAACGTCTATTAACACTGTCTTAACCACAACAGTATCGATGTAAGTGCAACCTTTGAAAACAGTAAACTCTTAACCACAACAGCATCAGTGTAAATGCAACGTTCTAAGAAGTCTCTTTGTAAAGCAATTATCTTTTTACAACAAGAGAATTAATGTATTAGCAACAGTACGATTACGTTAAGCCCTTTGAGTTAAGACTTCCACATGAGAAACTACATAAATTTTAGTTGTTCAGAAAAAGGTACCAGAGGATAACTGAGTTTGACTACAGTGCTGTAGCAGTGGTACACTTCCATAGGAACGGGAAGACTCTCCGGAAACTCTGACGTCGATACGGTTGAGCTTAATCTGATGATGTCAGAACTAGACCTTTCGTCATCAGCCGTCAACGTGCCAATACTGTCAATATGCTCTCCACCGAGTATATACAGCGATGAATTGTCTTTAAATAGTCCAAAATTTCTCATGTTAAAGTCCTTTACCCGGTTGACAAGTCTGACGCCTGATTCGGGCTGAAAACAATACACCTCACCATTAGTGCAAGCGATGTAGGTTTTGTTTTCAAAGGTAACAGCACGAGTTTCTTTCTGTGGCGACGGTAAACTTCCTACGATACTGCATTTGCCTGTAGCGGTATCAAAACACTGTATCGCAGCTGATTCTTCTGAAAATCCTTGCCAACCACCGAATATCAATACTTTATCACCATACACAGCAATAGATGCCGCGTCCACCGCGTGATTCAGATCTCCAGCTCTACTCCACGTGTTAGTCAACAAATCGAAAGCTTCGACGCTGCTAATTGTGCCAAACTTATAGCCCCCAAATACGTACAAAGTTTTATTCACAGCGGCCATGCAATGCCTGTATCGACCATGACTCATCTGAGGTTTCTCTATCCATTTACATAGTTTAGCTGAAAAATGGTAAAGGCAGTTTGGTTTGGATGTTCCACCGGAAATGAACAAATCGTCGCCAACGGAACATGCGGCGAAGTCATCACCAAGATCAGTCGGTGCTGTGCACAGACTATACCAAATGTTGTCCTTTTCGTTGTGTCCAATGAACTCCGTAATATAGTCACCGTAATTTACGCGGCGCTTCCCAAGAACCCACTTCAATGCTATTTTATCTGAAACGTCCCTTAACCTGACCTTCGTTGTTTGGAACATGTGTCGGCTCTCCGGCATTGCGTGGTATTTGATAGCGTTTTTAAGCATCTGAACACACTTCTCATTTTGATAAACATATTGACTTGTAAATATTTCTTCCAGGATAAATTCAAGACTAACTTGACACAGTCTCAATTCGCTTAAAATTTCCGGCATAAATTCTTGTCTGTTTTCTTCGTCTGCGTCGACCCATCTCAAAGCGGCTCTACAGACATTGTCTTCCGTTTCAACTTTTAGATGTTCATTACTAATCAGACTGTAAAAATCCTGAAAGTCTAACTTCAGGAATTCGTCATGTCTGACCACAGCGTCGAAATTATCAAGAATGTATTGTAATGCCGTATCTGTCAACGTTCGGCACGACAAAGAGCGCCCGATAGCCCAACACCCGATACTGTTATCTGGCAATAATTCGTCTGTCAAAAAGCTGACGCATTTTTCTGTCAGAGGTTTGACTTGAAATCTACATGAAGAAATTAGCAGTCCTTCCACATTTTCCGTTGATATCACGTTTTCATGGCTGTAGATAAAAGCTAGTAAGTCTTTGAATACGTTTGGTTCAACGTCCTCTATTTTGACACAGTCTGTTTTGGCTTCCTTCATACCTGACGAGAACATCGCGTCGAAATATTCGGATGCAGCCGATAGCACTACTTTGTGACAGGAGAACACTTGTGTTTGCACGCGAATGTGAACGTCACAGTGTTTGCGGTCCGCATACAGCAGACGTAAACCATCCTTTAACCAGCACGACGTGTTTGGCTCGTCACAGCTTTTCATCTCATTCAACTGTATAACAAAATAAAAACATACATGAGTTTATATGAAGATGTATACAATTTAGGTATAGTAGACAATTTTCGCCATTTCTCAAATTTTGAATTTAGAAAAATTTATATGTCAATACAGCCAGCGTTACTCTTTCAATATTTCTATATAATAACCATTTTCATTAACTGCTTATTGTAGGCACTTTCCGTCAACGATCGCATAATGATTATTGGTAATATAGAAGATTTTTTCGAATGTTTAAATTTACTTTTCAGATATATAATAGTTTAGTATCTAGTATTTTTTATCTAAGTCTCATCAATTACATTACCAGGGGGTAACTAACATATGTTGTTTTTACAGTTGTGTAAAAACAAATATTTCAACATCTGATATTCAACATTTTCAAGCCGATCTTTATCAACTTCATTTTAAAACCTATCTTGCTATTTTTATTTTTATTTAAAAAACAAACAAACGGAATTTATATGACATGTTACACCCTTGGGTAAATGGGAAGGAAAAATAAAATAATTATAATATCTTTAAAAGGTGACACGATGTCGAAAGTTTTATCACAGTATTTATTGCCTACATTTGCGAATGGCCAGAGGGTCCAACAGGTTTGTAAATGTCATGTCAAGAAGGCACGTTCTAGTAAAGCACCGCTAAATAGAAGATCAGTATCTTTTTCAATTAAATATTTAAGATAAAGATCGGTTAATAAAAGATATGGTATATTTTTAACGTTTATTTCTTTAAATATCTTTCCAAAATTTTCTCAAAGGAGAAACTGACGGACGTGGAATTTCTTCCTATAATGTTGTTGATTTTGTTGTTGTTGTTTTCTGTAATAATTTTGTATTAGAATAGTTTATCGCGCATATGTGCGACAAATACATACATGTATAATAATGAAAAATGTAAATGCGTTCTTATTTTTCCAGAGTTGATATTAATCAGATTTTGACTTATTCGAATTAAATTGTTAAGCAATTCCATTCTATAAAACTTCCTATATTCTTTTTTAGTTCAAAAATCGTAACGCGAAACAAACAATAAAGTTATTCGGTTAATCAGAGACATAGATTATCTATGTCTCTGGCTATAAACATTTAATATATAATTATATCCATTTAAAAAGAAATATGAATGAAGAATAAATATAAAGCATCAACATGCTCACTATTTTGCTATACGGATTACCAGATGCCTGTGTTTAAATTCGCAACTAAACCAGTCAATGCACGAGCGAATCAATGTGCACGTGATTTATAAATATTCCAGATCTCATATGTTTACATGTACTGAGGAAGTATTGATGGTACACCGGCATATATAACATACCAACATGTGTGTAATTATATATTCACAGCAACAACTACATTTATTCGGCATAAATTGGCCACTAATGAATTAATTACGCCGCAATTGACATTGATCATAGCCTTAACCATACTGAATTTGCATATTGCTGGACCCGTCCTATTTAAGAGCTTTCAGTAGGAGAAAAACGACAAAAATTAAACCACCATCAACAAAAACAAAAATTGGCGAAGGTTTTATACAAAGTCCTATCATTTCAGCCGCTAGTAGGTCTCAAAATTTTGAGACTATCTTTACTAACTTAGCCTGTTACATAGGAGTAGAATAACTACAAAGACATGTGAAATTTAGAGTGTTTTATACAGATATCATCTTTAATCTGTCTCATTAAAAGTTCAACATTCGTTTAGTAGATAGATACATTATATCGCTTTACAATGGAATGTACAATACCTTATATTGATATCGAATAATGAAAGCCATGGATTGCAGACTTCAAAAGATACGGATGCCATTCTTTAAATATAATCAAATTGCAATTAAGGAAACATGAAAAAATATGAGAAAAAAATGTGTATTCTCAGTTGGAGATTTTTTTTTCAAGCTTAATAAATAAGATAAATTGTACTTACTGTAACAGATGTAGTCCTTCCGCGTTGTATTCCTATAATGCACACTTATTATCATAATAAACAGCAGACGTGTTTGCACACGATACATCCAGACCAACAATGTAAATATCGATAGACGCTATCGATTTAATCTGGTCACGTGATATATACCGTCACGTAACTGACCGTAACATATGTACGGGATTTATGTCATGTTGACCGATGTCCGCCCAAGCATATGGTTACTTTATAAATGTAATATGTACACAAACGTCATTGTGGTATTGCTTTTGTTGGGTTAACGTGGGTTAATGTTACACTAAGATAAATATTATAATAATTTGACGAGAATGACCGTAAGTTAAACGTACTTATGGCTAAGCTATTGCAGAAAGGTATATAATGTAGTGCAAACTAATCTTTACACCAGACAAAGATGTATGATTTACGATTTATTGAAATACATGTACAAGAATAAACTGATGGCGCACAGTTAACTAATTTTTAGTTTTTGAAGAGATCAAGCTTTGCACAATCGATGTCACTTTCACGACGTTGGTGTTGACCATACAGATATCTTAAAGCTTAGTTACGTTTATATGCATACGCATGTAGTAATTACGCGTACGGTGGGACACACATGTATTTTTGGAGCAAATTCCTAATTTACACCCTTGGTATATCTTTAATGAAATTAATTAAACCCAAAACTACTCCAGAATGCAGGATATCACTTCTAGCAAAAACAAACAAACGGATCATATGCGTCTTCGTCGTCATCAACAACTGCAACAAAATCCAAGAGGGTACACATATGTAACATATACAATACAAAATTATATAATATTACAATACAAACGTTTTGTCTATTCATTTTTTTCAGGTCTGGCTAAGGCATTACAGTTCTGAATACGTGATCAGATTTTACTGATGTAAACAAACCATTGTGCATTGTATGCATACTGTATTGAAAACACGAGCAGCACGGGTTTAGTGAGTCAGTTCATGAGACGTTATGCAAAGTGTATGGATTTTTCACGACCTTACCATTGGCTTTTTATTCAGTCTTGTATACGAACAACATTGAAGTCCATGAACCTGAAGCATAAGAAACTTTAAACAGCACTGAGTTGCAGAACGGGGCTGCAAACATATTTTATTTCTCAGGATATATATATAAATGTTACAATTCACAATATACACAAAGCATTTCAAATATCCTTAAAATAATAGGGTTAGAATGAAAGACAAAGTGTCTTATGGAATTCTTCTCATTGTAAGTAAAAACAACTCCTATTTATTATAAACAACGATTGCTGAAATCGGATGTAATCTATAACTTTATTTACAAATATAACAATTTATGATACCACCACTAGGACCAGATTTCTGTTAATTGTCTTATACAAATAGAATTATCAGTTTGTCGTTAGTAACGGAAAAATGTAACTTTCAGTTGGCAAGTGATGCGTCGTTGTTATATTCAGTTTACATTTACATTCTACAGTTATTTTGTTTCATTTTTATTGTAATATTATATAAATTTGTATTGAATATGTTACATATATGTATGACGGTGTGTTACTTAAATGAATATTGCAACGTTTAAGTTTTTCTGTACAGTGCACTCAATAAAAGCGTCTAGACTTCAGTACTTAAAGCCGATAATGTATTTACCAGCTTATCTCCCGTGTAATACAGGTATTAAATACCGCCGCAGATTGTTGGATCTGCAAGACAAAACCCTTTGATCACCATAATAATAATAATAATAATAATAATAATAATAATAATAATAATAATAATAATAATATATACATCTTTATTGTCTCCGAATGTTCGAAGATATACATATTACATAAAACAGTCAATGAAAAGAAATAACAAAGTAAAGCATCATAATTATTCAAAAGGAACAGTTTCAAAGATATAAAATTATATATATTACATAAGACAATATTTGAAGAGAAGTGACGTTAATCAATATGCGAAATCCAAATTTTAACAAATATAAATGAAATAGTGACTTTCTTAACATTCCTTTTCTTGTCTATGTAATATTTTCATTTAAATAATAATTATTACTTTATTTAAATAAAGATAACAAGAACTTTGCACATATGGCCATGAAATCTGGGTACCTATCAGCGGATAATACGTTAATAAGATTGATATTTACATATCCTAATGTGTATGTAATAAATATCCCTGTAGGAATTGCCTGCAAAAAACTACTCAGAGTGCTATTGAACTGATTTTCTAGACAATCAAAGAATGTTGCCATTTTCTTTAGTTCTTTAAATTGTTCACCTTACAGTAAAACATCAGATGGTAGAGTTCATGTATACATTCATTAAAACACTTTTGACAAATTATAGTTTGTTCATGCTTAACTACATGTATACAGTTAAGTTGCGCAACAAATCGCAAAAGAGTCAGTAACTCTGGTCTTTCTTGTGCTACTCTCCATACATCGGACATAGTCTTTACTTTTGCCGGGAATAAACCACTTTCTATAAACTGTTCAATATAATTAGTCCATTTATACTTATCCAATAATTTCAAGACATCTGGAATAAAGCCTAATGAGGATATCGTCACTTTTGTTTTAGCATGCATAAGTCTTGTGTTCATTGTTATGAACACTTTACTAATCATTTCGCTTGATTTTAACCTACAGAAAGACAGATTTTGCCGTTTTTAGTTTTAGGATAAAACCAATGGCGTGCAAAAGAAAGAATTTGATAGTTTATATAATTTTGGATTTGAACAAACATCCAAGGCAATAGTGAACTTAAGAGCTATAATGTGTATATCCATTCGGATAGTTTGCAGTTCTGATGTACAATTTCGTTGTGCTAAAATTCGACTGTGTTTCGTATATATTGTTACTAAATTTGAATACTATATATGTTAATTTTGCTAACTATGTACTTTATTGTTTAATAGAATAATAAATGTAAAGCCTCTTGTTGGGGTTTATGTTTTTATAAAAAAAAATCTTATAAAATCATTATAAAATCTTAATACATTATATATATGGTTTTCTCTCTCAATTTCTGGCTAACTGGTGGAATGTCTTGCCCTTTGTGAAATTTTCATTCAACATGTTTCACATACATACGAGCTTAAGACTAAACTCTGGCAAGATGGTACACATAAAGAAGGCCAATGTGCACTGCCATGTCCAACGGATCTTTCGTTAAACAGGGCTTGTAACAAACATTCCACAATCCTTAGTATGAAGCTTTGTCAAGAACACACACACACGCGCGCACTCGCACGCACGCACGCACACGCACACACACACACACACACACACAGAAAACACATGTCGATTTAGTGTTTCATCGTATCAGAGCGGGAAGACTTTTTCTCCAGTATGAACTGTCCTAAAGTTTAAATGTGTCTATTTTCGAGTGCTATATAATATTTTGGAGTGCTATATAATATTTTGGAGTGCTATATAATATTTTGAGGTGTTATATAACCATACGCATATGCTATAGGTAATTGTTCATTATTTTCACCATACATGTATATCGGTAACTAATTGCTAATGCCCAGAGAACAGACATCAGTCGGTCATGCATAACACTCATCGTAAGGGGCAAAAGTTTTGCGTACAGTTAGTTTATCGAACCAATTATCATGCGTACAGTAAGAAATACGCAAATATTGTGGGATATATGCGAATAATTCTTTACGTTCTTTTCTCTTGATTTTATAGTTTTGCTTTTTTAGTTAACACGTTAATTAGTGCTTTAACTAATCAAGTATCTGTTTCAATATATTTGTTATTGTATTCTTTTAAAATGTTTGTCAGGTTGCTGGTGGCATTTAAAGAAACAAATAACCTCAATAGCGTTCTCCTTACCATGAAATATATTCTTCATGACTTGTGTATCATACTTTAGGGACCTTTCTCTTGAAAATGTGTCAGACTTAAATCGTATACATAATTATATACATGCATATTTCGTTAACTGGAGTGCAGGTATTAGTTACCTGCGCTCCAGAGCATGTCCATTGATTGGCTCATTTTATCTGGAACGACAAAGAATGGGATAGTACAGAATACCGTTAGGGCCATCGTGGTTAGAGTTTCTAATCCAGAGGGCGACAATGCGACAGTGCGATGACGACAATACGACAGTGCGATGACGACAGTGCGATAGTACGATGACGACAGTGCGACAATGCGATGACGACAGTACGATAATGCGATAATGCGATGGTGACAATGCGATAATGCGATGGCGACAGTGCGATAACGCGATGACGACAGTGCGACAATGCGATGGCGACAATACGATAGTGCAATAATACTATCGCGTTGTCGCCATCGTACTACTACTGTCGCCATCGCACTGTCGCATTGTCGTCATCGCGTTATCGCAATGTCGCCATCGCACTATCGTATTGTCGTCATCGCGATATCGCATTGTCGACTATCGCCTCCCGATGGACAATTATATACTGCTGACGAATAAGCTGACGGTATAGAATATGGGAAAATAATTTTACTTTTGTCAATAGATTTCTTCTTCTTGTTTTTGTTGTTGTTTTCTTTCCTTTTTTGTTTGTTTTTGTTTCTTTTTTTTGTATACAGAAAACGTCTAAATAAAATCATAAATTAATAAAAAGAAGCATTTTATATCAAAAGATAGGGGACAAATATTGCCAAAATCGATACTTTACTTGAATAAAATTCTTAGATAGGGGAAATACTTATATAAAATACACAAACATGTAATAAACTGTGTGAAACTTTTTAAAAAAGTCGAAAGATTTCAGATGAAAATGATGTTATGTTGACATTTAAAAGATGCAAAAAATATTCAATTGGTCAGTAGTACATAGAGGATATTCAAGTTTTTTTTCTATAAATGCAGGATTTTTTTTTTAATCGAGTGGTATGAAAATAAATATTTCATGAGTTGCGCTAGTATTATATACATGTACTTTTTCTATTTTTGACATTACTGATACAATATGATAGTCTTAGCCTTAAATTTTGTATATCGGCTGAATCTAGAAGAAAGAAGTCCGGCAAGACACAAGTGAAAATACGGAAAATATGTTTCACTGCAGTCAAGAACAAATTTTGCAGTGTAAATGAAAATACGCATTTCATTTCTATGTTTTCTCTAAAATTCTAAATACAGTTCATAATAAATCTAACTGGTCGGCTTTGTTTAAT